CCTTGACAAAGAATATACACATCCTCCATGCACCTGTGGTATTTTTCTCTTTGTCCATCTGCGCCTTCTCTCTTTACTGATGTGCTATTATCTCACACTCTCAGTACTGCAGCTTTATCTGTCCCTTGCTCTCAGTAGCTTCCCTCTGTATTCCACAGAATCTTCAAACTGTTAGGGTGCAGAAGGAGGAAATTTGCCCATCATGTCTGACCTAGCTCTATGAATGAACAATCCATACCCAGCCATTCTTCCGCCTTCTTCCTGTAACCCAGTACTTTATTCCTTTTCAAATTGCCATCCAATTCCTTTTCCAAATGTCTGACTGAACATTGCTTTCTCTATTCATTGTTTTCTTTTATCCTTCTTGTACCTTCTCTTTCTAGGGTACACATTCCCTTTCCAGCCCTCTGTTTTACCCTTTTCTTCATAGAACATAGAACATAGAACAGTACAGCACAGTACAGGCTCTTCAGCCCACGATGTTGTGCCGACCTATTATCCTACTAATAAGAAACTACCCTGCATACCCTACATTTTACTATCATCCACGTTCCTATCCAGGAGTCGCTTAAATGCCCCTAATGTATCTGACTTCACGACCACTGCCGGCAGCGCATTCCACACGCCCACCACTCTCTGTGTGAAGAACCTACCTCTGACATCTCCCCTGTACCTTCCTCCAATCACCTTAAAATTATGCCCCCTTGTAATAGTCATTTCCGCCCTGAGAAAAAGTCTCTGGCTATCCATACTATCTATGCCTCCATGTGTCTTTCGTTCTCTTTTCTTTGTCTTTCACTGAAATTTATCCTGAAGCATCCTAATTTACACGATGGGATAACAAGGTGTAGAGCTGGATGAACACAGCAGGCCAAGCAGCATCAGAGGAGCAGAAAGGCTGACGTTTCGGGCCTAGACCCTTCTTCAGAAATGGCCTAGGCCCGAAACGTCAGCCTTCCTGCTTCTCTGATGCTCCTTGGCCTACTTTGTTCATCCAGCTCTACACCTTGTCATCTCAGATTCTCCAGCATCTGCAGTTCCTACTATCTCTAATTTACATCATTCCTGCTCTGTTCTCCTCCTATCTTCTCCCCTCCCCCAACTGATATCTATAAGGTCCTATTTTTTCTTCCAGCATCTGTTTTATCTCTCATTCCTGTGTGCAAATGTACTCCTCTCTCTCTCTCCCTCTGTCTCTCCCGCTCTCTCTCTCTCTCTCCCACGCTCACACTTCCATTCTGTGGCTCTTTGGCTTCTGTTTGTAGCTGTGGATCCTTTTCAACCCCTGTGTGTATTTTACTTGTCTGTCTAATCGTGATTAGAACCTGAACTGCAAAAACAGATGATTTGTATGTCGCACCAATTGCACATTGGGTCAGAGCTGATTGGCACTTAAACAAATAGTTCAGCACCAAATGTTCTATTTTTGAAGACAAAGAGGTTTTAGCGGTAAGTCAAGGTTCTGTTTTAGAACAGTTGACATTTCCTCAGTAACACTGAACAAGAAGGCAGGAATTTTAAACTTTTGGACATGCTGCAGTGAGATTTTCCACCCAGTAAAATTAAAAGGCTGATGGTGCAAAGGGAGGATTTCTGTAAGTGATGGTCAGGTTATCTGGCTGATAACCCAAATGCCAATTTGTTTCTTTTTCGGTCAAAATTTTAGACCTTAAAAATCTATACTGCTTATTGTCTCCGATGTGGCAATATGGGGAGGGGACAAGAGTCAGGATTGGTCAGTGGGATGGGAGGAGCAGATAGCGGGGAGAGAAGATGGACAGGTTGTGTCAGGTCAAGGAGGCGGGGATGAGAGGGAGGGTTGGCCATGGGATGAGGCCGGGGGGTGGGGAGATTTTAAAACTGGTGAATTCTGTGTTCAGGCCATTAGGCTGAAGGCTCCCGAGGCATAATATGAGGTACTGCTCCTCTAGTTTGCGGGTGGTATCATTGTGACACTGGAGGAGGCCCAGGATGGACATGTCAACCAGGGAGTGGGAGGGGGAGTTGAAATGGCAACCGGTTTGCGTACAGAGCACAGATCCTCTACCAAACGGTCTCCGAGTCTACACTTGGTCTCATTGATGTACAGGAGGCCACATTGGGAGCATCTGCGCTCTGTATGCGACAAGTGACAACACCTTCCAGTTACCAATCATTTTAACTCCCCCTCTCACACCCTGGGTGACATGTCCATCCTGGGCCTCCTCCAGTGTCACAATGATACCACCTGCAAACTGGAAGAGTAGCACTTCATATTCCGCCTCGGGAGCCTACAGCCCAATGGCCTAAACATGGAATTCATCAGTTTTAAAATCTCCCCACCCCTGGCCTCATTCCCATGACCAACCCTCCCTCTCATCCCCGCCTCTTTGACCTGACACAACCTGTCCATCTTCTTCCCACCTATCCGCTCCTCCCACCTCACTGACCAATCCCCCCCACTCCCATCCTGCATTCACCTATCACCATCCCACTTGTCTTCCCCAGCCCCACCCTTCCTCTCTCTATTTATTTCCCAGCTCCCTTTTCCCTCCCCATTTCTGAAGAAGGGTCCCGACCCAAAATGTCAGCTTTCTTGCTCCTTTGACACTGCCTGGCCTGCTGTGTTCCTCCAGCTCCGCATTGTGTTATCACAGACTCCAGCATCAGCAGTTCTTACTATCTCTCAGCATGTCATGTTGCAGGTTTATAAGACTTTGGTTAGGCCTCACACTTGGAGTATTGCATTCACTTCTGTTCGCCACACCGCAGGAAGGATGTGGAGGCTTTAGAGAGGGTGCAGAAGAGGTTTACCAGGGTGCTGCCTGGATTAGAGGGTATGAGCTATAAGGAGAGGCTAGGAAAAAACTCCCTTGACTCAGTCTTCTTTCTCCTGGTCCAGTCCCTGCCCATGTACATCTGTGATTTATGCCAGTTTCAAAATTTCCAGTTTGCAGGTTCCAGCCGCCTTCTCTTTACCATGGGCGTGCAATCCCTTTATATGTCTGTCCCCTACCAGGAGGGTCTTAGGGCTCTCCACTTCTTCCTGGAGCAAAGATCTGAAAGGTCTCCACCCACCACCACCCTCCTCCACTTGGCCGAGCTCGTCCTCACCTTCAACAACTTCTCTTTTGACTCCTCTCATTTTTTTCAGGTAAGACGGGTGGCCATGGGTGCCTGCATGGGCCCTAGTTATGCCTGTCTTTTCATGGGGTACGTGGAACATTCCTTGTTCCAGTCCTATTCCGGCCCCCACAACTCTTTCTCTGATATGTCAATGATATCATCAGTGCTGCTTCCATCTCTCGTCTGGAATTGGAAAACTTTATTGATTTCGCCTCCAATTTCCACCCTGCCCTCACTTTCACCTGGTCTATCTCTGACTCTTCCCTTCCCTTCCTTGACATTTCTGTTTCTATTTCGGATTGACTTGCCATTTATATTCACTACAAACCCACTGCCTCCCACAGCTACCTGGACTATACATCCTCACACGCTGCTTCATGTAAAGACTCCATTCCATTCTCTCAGCTCCTCCTTCTCCATTGCACATGTTCAGATGAGGCTAACTTCAACAAAGGAGCCTCTGAAATGTCCACCTTCTTCCTTAACCGAGGATTCCCCAACTCCGTTGTTGACAGGGCCCTCCACCAGATCTGACCCATCTCCCGCACTTCCGCCCTCACCCCTTCTCTTCCCTCCCACAACAGCGAAAGGGTTCCCCTTGTCCTTACCTACCATCCCACCAGCATCCACATCCAAAAGATCATCAGACGCCATTTCCACCACCTCCAGCAAGATGCCAGCACCAGACACATATTCCCCTCCCCTCCCTTGACCGCCTTCCGCAGGGACTGTTCCCTCCAGGACACAGTGGTCCACTCTTCCTTCACCCCCAACAAACCCCCACAGCCCTACAGCACCTTCCCCTGTCACCAGCGAAGGTGCAACACAAACTTGATAGAAGTCTATAAAATGATGAGATGCATAGATAGGGTTGATGGTTGGAATCTTTTTTCTTAGAGTTGAAATGTCTAACACTAGGGGTCATGCATTTAAAGTGAGAGGGGGAAAGTTCAAAGGAGATGTGAGGAGCAAGTTTTTTACATAGAGAGTGGTAGGAATGTGGAAAACACTGCCAGGGGTGATGGTGGAGGCAGATACAATAGAGGCATTTAAGAGACTTTTAGATAAGCACATGGATATGCAAGGAATGGAGGGATATGGACCAAGGGCAGGCAGAAGGGATTAGTTTAATTTGACATCATGTTCAGCACAACATTGTGGGCCGAAGGGCCTGTTCCTGTGCTGTACGATTCTATGTTCTGTCACTAGACTACTTATCCAAAGTGTTCTGGGGACCTCAGTTCAAATCCTGCCACAGTAGATGGTGGAATTTAAATTCAATAAAAAAAATCTGGAATTAAGAATAATAACCATGAAGCAATTGTTAGGGAAAAACCCATCTGGTTCACTAATGTCCATCCTTGTCTGTTCTGGCCTAGATGTGACTCCAGACCCACAGCAATGTGGTTGACTTGTAACTTCCTTAACAAATAGGGATGAGCAATAAATGCCTAGCCTAGGCAGTGACACCCACATCCCATGAACGTGGAAATAAATAAACATTCTCCCAGATTAAATGGAAGGACAGGGTCCATGGTACCTTGTAACCTCCATTGGGAAATGGGGCTCAGTAGTTAGAGCTTACACAAGAGAGAGAGAGGTGGCCATTTCGTATGTTGCAATGCTTTACCAACTTCCTAACAGATCACCAACAAAATACAACAGTCACTAGACTTCCAATGCCATCCATTGACTGAGAAACACATTGCAATATCCTGAGAAGAGGCAAGATTCCACAGAGATGCAAAGTTACATTTCTGCAAGCCCTTCATCAAAAGTATTGATGGGTACCATGGAACCAGTAAAGCATTATGCAAAGGGTTTGTACCAGCATTTGTGTGAACAGAAAGTAAAAGGTCAAACGCGGCCTGTCTACTCACTGATGATGATGAGGGTATAGTTGAGATGGATGCTGCCAAACCCATTGGTTGCTCTGCAGACATACACTCCAGCGTCCTCCACTTCCACCTCCTTGATTTTGAGGCCATGCTGGAGGACTCGGAACCTCGTCCAGCCACTGTGGATGGTACGTCCGTCCTTGATCCACATGGTCAGCGGGGGAGGGTCGCCCTCTACAGGACAGGCCAACCTGACTGTGCGGCCAAACTTGACCACCTGCCGGCTCATCACTTTCTTCACAATCCTTGGAGGACCTGGGTTCAGACGTTAAAGAGAGGTCAGAGGTCAGTAAGGTTGGCAGGGGGGAAGTTGGCATAAATTCTAAGGGAAGGCATTAAAATGAAATCCACTCATCAGCTTCCGGCATCTCTAGTGTCCTCCAACCTGCAGACAGATCGTGGATTTTGCCCATAGATCTGAGCTCTACAGGTTCAAGATGGGCAGGATCCATTGGGATCGGGGTGAAGTTACCTTACAGCCTCCCTCTGTTTGGTGACATTGCAGGGGAATACAGCATTGACTGGTAAACATGAGCCTTTAGTCAGTGATGAGTATACAATCTGAGTGCAGAATATCTCACTGGCATTCATAGCAACATTAACCATTTAATTGTTATTTGTGTTTACTGCTGTACCGAGCCACAGTTGTTGTTGATTAGTTAGTGTTAGCTATTGGCATCCCAGGCCACTTGCTATCATATCTTACAAGCTGGACTGACTCTATAGGCAGCCTATAAAATGTAGATGATTGCTCCAATTCCTTAAGGTGACTATTTAATGTGGCTTAAGATGTAATAAATAAATAATCAAGAATATCTTGTGCTTCACCTAAACCAGCCTGAAATATGCCAAATGACCCAAGTCAAATCAGTACGTCAACTGGATCCATCACTTATGGGAAAAGAAGATGTCCATTTTGATAAAAACCAAAAGAACTGCGGATGCTGTAAATCAGGAACAAAAACCAAAATTGATGGAAAATCTCAGCAGGTCTGGCAGCATCTGTGGAGGAGAAAACAGAGTTAACGTTTCAGGT